GGAGCTCCAAAGGCTCTTCCAAAGGTGGAAAAGGAAGGAACTGATGGTTCCCAAATCCCTCGGAGCGAGGAGAAGACCACAGAGATCCAAAGGCGCTTCCAAAGGTGGAAAAGGAAGGAACTGATGGTTCCCAAATCCCTCGGAGTGAGGAGAAGACCGCGGAGATCCAAAGGCTCTTCCAAAGGTGGAAAAGGAAGGAACTGATGGTTCCCAAATCCCTCGGAGCGAGGAGAAGACCGCGGAGATCCAAAGGCTCTTCCAAAGGTGGAAAAGGAAGGAATCGGCTCTTCCCAAATCCCTCGGAGCGAGGAGAAGACCTGGAGCTCCAAAGGCGCTTCCAAAGGTGGAAAAGGAAGGAACTGATGGTTCCCAAATCCCTCGGAGCGAGGAGAAGACCGCGGAGCTCCAAAGGCGCTTCCAAAGGTGGAAAAGGAAGGAATCGGCTGTTCCCAAATCCCTCGGAGCGAGGAGAAGACCGTGGAGATCCAAAGGCTCTTCCAAAGGTGGAAAAGGAAGGAATCGGCTGTTCCCAAATCCCTCGGAGCGAGGAGAAGACCGCCGAGCCTCCTGCAGGGAATTGTGGATTTTTGGTGGGAATTTTCCTCTCCGAACTCGGTGGTTGAGCCGATTCCGGCTTTTCCCTGGGGAGAAGAAGGGAGGAACGTCCGGGAATGAACGGGAACCGGAGAGGGATGGACCGGCAGAGCAGACGGCGCCGCCGGCGTCTTCCGCTCCGGCGTGGGATCGGTGACGGGCGAATTCCAGCTGGGATTCCTCCTGTGAGCCGGGCGGATCCATCCAACCCAACTTTGCTCTTCCAAGGACTTGGGATGGGAGGGAGGAGATGGAAAGCCACCGTGCCGGGGGGACAATTCCTCACGGGAGGATTTCTTCCCAATATCCAATCCCGAGTTCAGGGATTTTTTTTTTTTCTCCCAGGGTTCCTCCAAGCCCTGTCCAACCTGGCCGTGGACACTTCCAGGGATTTCCTGGGGAGCCGTGGGATGAAAATCCCATTTTTTTGGGGGGGTAAAACAGGATGAGGGTTGATGGTTGTTTTTGGTGGTATCGGAGTGGTGGGACCTCCCCGGCCAGGTCTTCTTCCCAACTTTCATCCAACTTAACCCTTGGACACTTCCAGGGATGGGGCAGCCAGAGCTTCTCTGGGAATTCCATTCCAGAGCCTCCCCGCCCTCAGAGCCGAGAGTTCCTTCCCGTTTTCCCACCCAACCGTGTCCTCTGGAAGTGGGGAGCCATTCCCCGTGTCCCATCCCACCCCACTTGGTCCGATATCCAACCCCAGCCCGCCTCCATCTCTCGAGAACATCCTCCCTCCACGCTCGGGAGCTTTGGGAGCAGCCATCCCGAATTCGGCTGGAATTCTGACCTCCACCCCGTGATGTTTCTCCCGGCAGGACCTCGTCGCTCCGGTGGAACGCCGGCACCAAGGAGCGGATGCTGATCAAGGTGACGGACCGCGAGCCCAGCTTCCTCCTCCACCAAGGCAACGGCTACGCCGTGGAAAACCAAGCGGGCTCCCGCTCCCGCCGGCCCTCGGGCGGCCAACAGTCGCCCAACCTCCAGGCCTTCTCCTCGGACGCCGACGGCTCCGTCTTCTTCGCGGAGAGGAAGCGGTCGCCCTTCCCGAAGCGCGCCGAGCACGCCGGCAGCTGCTCGCCGCTGCCGGGCCAGCAGCGTAGACATCCCGGCGAGTGCCGGCCGCCGTCGCCGCGCTACGCCTACGAGCCGCCGCTCTACGAGGAGCCGCCCGCCGAGCTCCAGGCGCCCATCTACGACGAGCCGCCGGCCGACGCGCCGTACGAGGCCGGCGGCGGGAGCCGCGGCGTCGCGGCGCCGCCGAGGTCGCCCGCCCGCAGGCCGCACCCGTCGGCGCAGTCGCCCAAGGCGGGCTCCAACTCGCCGTACCAGCAGTTGGTGCTCACCAAGCAGAAGTGCCCCGAGCGCTTCATGAGCTTGGAGTACAGCCCGGCCGGCAAGGAGTACGTCCGCCAGTTGGTCTACGTGGAGCAGTCGGGCTCCAGCCCCAAGATGAAGGTGGGCTTGAGGAACAAGTATGGCCCCCACCCCATGGGCGGGTCCTACTCGCTGCAGCACGGCCCCTGCGCGCCGCGGGACCGGCGCCCGGACGTCAAATCCGGCGACTACAGCAGCATGGAGGGACCCGACTCGTGCGCCGGCGCCCGGGCCGAGGACTCCATGTCGTGGTCCAGCCAGCAGGACACGTTGTCCTCGGCGGGTTACTCGCCGGCCAGCAGGAAGAGGAAAAGCCGCAAGCCTTCGGTCGAGCGCGACGCCGACGCGGCGTCCGCCAGGAGCGAGGCGGGCGAGGAGCGAGCGGCGCCGGGGTGCGACGGGTGGCCGGAGAACCGGGCGGCGGAAGCGGCCGAGGTGGAGCGGGACCTCCTGGAGGCGCGGGCGGCGTGGGGAGCGCAGCAGGTCCGCTGTCCGTCCAAGCAGAGGAGCAGCTGGGATTCCCAGAAGGACGGCTCGGGCTACGAGAGCGACGGCGCCGTCCCGTTGCCCATGCCGGGCCCGGTGGTGAGGGCCTTCAGCGAGGACGAGGCGTTGGCGCAGCAGGAGGGCAAGCACTGGAAGAGGAGCACCTTCGAGAAGCTGGGCTTCCCGCAGGTCCTCCTGGAGAAGAGCGTCTCCGTGCAGACCAACCTGGCCTCGCCCGAGCCCTACCTGCATCCGTCTCAGGTAAGGCCCTTGGGAAGGTTCTCGGGTTCTCCGGGGGTCTTCGCAGGACGGGGAGCGGGCGTCGCGGCGCCGCGGTGGCTTCAGCGCCGTGCCGTGGTTTCTTCTGCCGAGGTGCGGGGCAGATGGTGGATCCACGCAGATTCCAGGAGGTTCCCGAGTGCCCGTCCCTGGTGGATCCCTCAGGGAAGTTGGTTCCTTGGCAAGGTGGTTCTTCAAAGTTGGTCATTAGCAAGGTGGTTCTTCAAACTTGGTCCTTGCCAAGGTGGTTCTTCAAAGTTGGTTCCTTGGCAAGGTGGTTCTTCAAAGTTGGTCCTTCACAAGGTGGTTCCTCAAAGTTGGTCCTTGCAAAGGTGGTTCCTCAAAGTTGGTCCTTGCCAAGGTGGTTCCTCAAAGTTGGTCCTTGCCAAGGTAGTCCCTCAAAGATGTTGGTCTTTGCTGAGGTGGTTCTTCAAAGTTGGTCCTTGCCAAGGTGGTTCCTCAAAGATGTTGATGTTTGCCAAGGAGGTTCTTC